CCAGGAAAACTGGTGGTATAATCAGCTTAGTCTAAAGGCCCCAAAATGGGGAAGGAGGTAGGCAGGTAGGGTGCAGTGTGATGGTGCAAGTCCTGGTTTAAATCCAAAAGCCTGAGAAACATGAGCACCGATGTCTGAGGACAGGAGAAGACAGATGTCCTAGCTCAAGCAGAAAGGCAATTCACCCTTCCTAGGGTTGCTCCAGTTAGGTGATGTGTTCATCACCAAGCTAGTTACTGTGGGAGAATGGGATGTTCTGGAATGCTTTAGTCCAGATGGCACGTGCGATGGGAGATGGAAGTATTTATCAAAGGAGTCACATGGATTGAATGTGGAGAAGGAGTCATTCCCTTCCAAGCACAGTCGTGTCCTGTTGTCATGAGAGGGGGCAGCTGAGGCTGGGTGGCAAATATCTCACAGGTGTCCATTACACTGATGGTGGGGAGAGGGTGGCCAAGGTCACCAGAAACCTTGGCCAGGATCTTGAGGGCCCTTCTGCTGATTTAGGAAACTGCATGAGATATCCACAGGAGGCCCTTCAAGAGCATGATTGAAAATCAAGAGGCCACTCTGAGGCTGTTTCAGAGCGAGCTCCCGCCTTGTGACACCCACTGAGCTTATGAAGAAAGGAAATGATGGGAAGCCAGAAACAGCATCTACATTTGACCATCAGCCAACCACAAGAGTGGCATGTTGGGTGATGTGGTCAAAGAAGGATTGGCAAATTCTCTGATCAAAAAAATGAACAAGACGGTTTTGTTTTATATTTATTTATATTTTTACCCCAGGGAATCCAATTTGTGGCCTTTCAAAGTGAGTGCCTTTGAGGTTTGGGTGAATAGTTTTTCTTCCGTTGTTACAGTGAGCATCAGAGCCAGAAGTGCCAGACATTAGTGAAAGCTTTCCAAAGCCTGTAGTTCTGGTGAGATCAGCTGCGGGGTGGGAGTGGCTGGAAACTAGGGGAGGGGATTAGAGCATGATGAGATCTCTGAGATTCTTAGGAGATTTACAGTTTGGTTTAGTACTTAAAGATTATTTTTGGTCTAAAAGTAGATTTTCCCAAACTATTGTGTTGTTCCTAGATTCACCTTGTCTGTGAGATTTCTGTTATTTCTTGCTGATTGTACCTGAGAATATTTTCTCTTTCATGTTTGTGTGTCCAAAATGTCATTCATTCATTCATTCATTTTTCTCTCATTCAATCAACCAACATTACACTGAGGGCTTCCTGAGGGAGAATCAATGTTTTATCTAGAGTAGGCAGATTTCACATCTACTCCCTCCCACTGCTTCCTTACCATTCCCATTGGTCGTCTAGCTGCCACATTTCAGAGCCAACATCTCCAACACTGAGTTTTTGATACCTCTCACCCCACCAAACCCTCTCCTTTTCTAGGCTTTCTCATCTCCAAAAATAGTGCCTCTATCCACACACTGGCTCAAGCTAAAACTGTGGAGGCATTCTCAATGTTTCATTTGACTTCAAAGCTAAATCTAAGCCAGCACCTAGTAGACTCTCAATCAATATTGACCAGACTGACAGGTGGTTAAATGAGCTGGAGAATGAATGAACAATGCTTTGAGCTGCCACTCCAGCGGCACCATCTCAGCCCCTGTAGACATGGATGTGTGCTCATGTCATGGAGACAGCTTGAGTAAGTGTACAACTGAACACAGATTTTTTACATTTTCAAAAACTGCTATTTCTTGGAAACAGATTGTGTTTCTCTGATTGTCTATTAAGTTTATTTATTTAGCCTGCTGAAGATTTTGGAACCCAACCAAAGTAATCTGCATTTCCATTTTTATATCTTAATTTATAAACGGCACCTTGTAATTTACAAGCATTCACTTAGTGTCACTAATGGAGCAGAAACAAATACCAACCCTGCCAGCTCTGCTACCCAAGTCTTCTCTCTGCACCTTTCCTTTCAGAACTTTCTAGTTTTCAGGCTGGAGAGGATGGGCTGGAGCCAGCCTGGCTTGGAGAAAGTAAGGACAGTAATAATGACATTTTACATTTATATAGGGAAGAGAGAGGAAGGTCTCATTGTCTCATGACTCCCACTTTATAGATGAGGAAATAGAGGCTGAGATGGGAGCGACATGACCAAGAAGGTTTGCTGATGAGCGCTGGAGCCAGGCTTAGGGTCTGTATCTCTGGAACTCCTCATGCCAAGAGTCTTCCCAGGACACCAGGCCAGGCTCTCTCCACTTGGGCACTAGTGACATTTTGGGCTGCATCATTCTTAGTTTGCATTGCAGGATGTTTCGCAGCGTCCCTGGCCTCTACCCTAGATGCCAGTAGCACCTATCTCATCGGGACAACCCAAAATATCTCCAGACATTGCCAAGTGTCACCCCTGATGGAGAGCCGCCATGCTAGACTGTGTCCTGTCCTTGATTATAAAGAAGGCACATGGTCAAGAAAACTCATCTCCTTTCATAGCCCCTCCCCCAGCCCCTGCCGGTTCCCTCCAATCACAGACGTTAGCTGAGAATTGCCCTTTCCACCCTATCACTGAGAATTCTGAGCAGATACCGAGTACCTCCTGTGTGGCACCAGGTGCTTTACATTCTTGGTCACATTTAACCTCCCAAAGTGGGTAAAATGATCTCCGTTTTACAGGTGAGGAGACTGAGGCTTAAACAGGTCATAGCTTGCCTGTGATTTCGTAGTTAGTGAGTGGCATGCTGGGATGCTAACTCAAAACTGCCCAGTCCTAGCCCTAACCAGTTTGGCTTAGTGGTTAGAACGTCGGCCTGTGGACTGAACGGTCCCAGGTTCGATTCTTGTCAAGGGCATGTACCCTGGTTGCGGGCACATCCCCAGTGGGGCGTGTGCAGGAGGCAGCTGATTGATGTTTCACTCTCATCGATGTTTCTAACTCTCTATCCCTCTCCCTTCCTCTCTGTAAAAAATCAATAAAATATATTAAAGAAACAAACAAACAAAAACTGTGCAGTCTGGGGGCAGAGAGCTTACCTGCCCTGCCCCTCCTCCTTGCTCCACTCCAACACAGTGAGAACCAGGTTTTCTTTCTTGGCTCAGCATGAAGGTACCGCATCAGAGAAGCCTTGCCCGCTCCTTCCCAGGAGCCCATCCCTCCAAAAGCAGGCATATTTCAGGCGCGAAGGACACACATCCATGATTGTGGTCCAAGTGCCTGTCGCCAATGGCCCTATCCAGACTGTGGCCTGTGTCCTCCACCCCAGCATTGGGCCTTGCTGAGTGAAGCATTTGATTTCCCCGGCTGTGGAATGCAAGCCAGCACAGCAGTGAGGCAGTTCTGGAGACAGAGCCTTCTGGCTCTGTCCTGGGGACTATGGGCAAGCGGGAAACATCTCTGAGCTCCATGTTCCCATCCATAAAATGGGAAGGCCCTCTTCTCAGGGAAGATGCGAGCATTAAATGATGATAAATGTAGACGGGTTCACACCGATGCTGGGTGCTGGATAAAGGCTTCCTGCAATGAAGGTCCAACTGCCTCCATTGTAGGTTACCTGCGACAGACTCACTTTCAATTCCCGAACCCCTCTGGCCAGTCTGTGTCCCCGTGTGCAGTTACTTCTTTAGGGCCATCTGCCCAGTTAGACTCCCCTGAGGGGAGGGCCTGTCCCTTTGCCCCCTCCCACAATGGCCAGCCCAAGACACGCTCAGAATGACTGCTGAAGAAGGGATGGTAATGATGATTCCTAGAGGAATAGCTTTTTGCAGCGGGTGCTGCCTTCTCTGGGTGTGTCTTAATGTAAGAACAGTTTGCCTTGGTGAGTAGCCTGATGACGGTGCCCTGGGATTCCCCACTCTGAGCCGTTCGGGCTATTAACCATCATTCTGGCTGTGCTTTGGCATTTTCTTTGATTTCCCCAGGGGACAGTAGCTTGCGGTAATAAGATGCAAGCTCAGTGGAGCCAACATGCAGAATGCAAGAGGGTGAAGCTCAGTAGGGCCTGGTTACCAATTCCCATTCCAGGCTCCAATCCCCACCTCTGCCCAGCCGTTTACTCCTAAACCACCAACCAGTTACTGGTGCTTTTTGTGCCTCAGTTTCCTCACCAGTAAATCAAGAATATTAATAGGAAAGATGAAATGAACAGCGCCTAGAATGCATCATGCACGAACTCTCTGTTAACAAGCGCCCCAGTCCTTTAATTGGGGTGGGTGGGGTGCCAGAGAGCATGAAGTGAGGGGAAACTTTCCCTGCCTTTTTAGCTCTGCAGCAAGCAGCAGGCAGGCCCAGGGAGCAGGGGCGCACACTGCTGTGGCAGGCTTTCTTTTCTCCGTCCCTTCCGCAGGGAAGGTGGCTGGCTTCAGCGACTCCACGGGTGTCCTGGGAATGGCAGCCAGACCCCACTGCCCCCCCCAACCCCCCACCCCCATCCCCGCAAACGACAAGCGATGCCATCCCGCCCAGCTCTATGGCAGCATTCGTTTCATTTCTTCTTTTTAAAAGCTGCTCAACATTCTGCACTCTTCAAAGTACCCAGGACTAAATCTCCCTCCCCCGTCTTCAAGCCAGTTCCCGGGCCCTACTCCCCGCACCCCCTCTCCTCCCCCGCCCGCCTGGTCAGGTTTGGCCCGGCAAAAAGCAAAAAGAGTTGATGGAGGGACTGCGGGCATCCGGTTCACCGCTCCACGGGCCCCAGGGGGTCTCCGTCCAAGTCCGGCCCCTCCCCTAAGGTTACCCAACTTTTTCCTCTTCCCGCAGCTCCCGGGGAGGT